TCATTCCGTCTTGGGGCGGGAGGAGAGCAAACCAGAAATCCAATTTTCGAGCCACCCACTCTGTCACACGACTGGTTTGAACCGGATTTGCGCCCATTTTCCCTGCCCTGGCTGACATGTTGGCATCCTCCTTCAAAACCCATCTTCAATCCCACGAGGATCCGCAGAAAACAGTACTCGACTATATGACATCCACATCAGTTTAGAGTTCCTATGAGTTCCTCAAACACACTTGTAGGATCTTCCTCTAGACTCTAATCCCTTCCAATCCATCGTGAATCGGCCACGGCCGCCCGGGCCCTCCTGCTGTTCCGGCCGCAGCTCCCGGAAGGCTTGACAGGCATCCTCGTCGAAGCATGCGCTTCGAAGGAAGTGGCCCACCTCCTGCGCGGCTGGGCTGCCAGGTGAGATGAGGAGGAAGTTCGAAGAAGGCAAACAGAAAGAGCAGCTTCTTGTTACTAGTAGCGATGCCCTTGCTCGTAGCAGCTTCTTGCTCCTAGTAGAAAGGCCAGGAGCCCCTTGTCCCTAGTAGCATCCTTGCTCCTAGATGGAGGAGTTTTGGGGCCGTTTTTCGGAGTTTGGGGAGATGCGAACTGGATGCTGGAGCCTTTCCCATCCCGCCGCTCCGCTCCTCTCGCTGCATCCCTCCGCCTCGCCCTTCGCCCTTGCCGTAGCCCTTGCGGATCCGAGACATCAACACTGCCGACGTGTTCTTGGCGCCCTTCCTTGACATGGGACGCTGCTGGCAGAGTGCCCATGGATCCCGTGCGGACACCAGCCACTGGGTACCGGGGTTTGCTTTTGGGACACTGCTTGAGCGATTGGAGATGACAGAAAAGGCTGTATTTTCTCTTTGTAAGTGTTATAGCCATCAACCAGGTCCGAACGTTGACGTTTCATCTGTGGTATCGAAACTGCCTCACATGGCCCTCATCAGACCATCCAAGTAGGGCCCCTCCCCAGTAAAGGAAGTTCCTTTTGGGGTCACCTAACTAGGAACAAGAAGCTACTAGTTGGAGGCCATCGCTATTAGCTTGGAGGCCATTACTAGTAGCAAGAAGCTATTAGTAGCTATTTTTGCTACTAGACGTAACGGTAGTCAAGCCAATTTTAGACATCGCCGTGCTTGGCCGTCCAGGGAATCCACATGGCCGTCTGTTCCACCACGCCGGTGAAGGGCGTCGCCGTCGGGTGGGCCAGGCGGCAAGTCGGCGGCGACGATCTCCAGCTGTTGTTCCAAGGGCAAACTCCGCAGGGCGCTGGCGACCTCGATGGAGATCTGGTGCCGCGCCAGGAAGTCCAAGACCTCCAGCGAGCGACCGCGACTCGGAGTAGAGTAGACCGCGTAGTGGTGCGGCACGAGTTCTGCGGCACGTCGTGGGGAGACACGAAGTGGACTCCATGGACTGCCCTGGAAGTGGACGCCATGGCGACAGAAAGACGCCTGACGCTTTCCGAAACCCTGCACGGTGAACTCCACCTTCGTCATGGTGAGTGTCTGTCTGCAGGAGCTGGTCAAGCGAGCGTACTGTCAACTGAATCGGATCTGTAATCGAACTCTTTCTGCCACCATCGAATTCAGAAAAACACTTGCACTTTTTTCGGTTTCTTCCCTCTTCAACACGTATGCTCTTCCCACCCCAACACCACCAAAACCAATCCCCCCTACCCCCCGCACCCGCGCCGCACCCGCCGCCGCAGCCGCGCCGCACCCGCCGGTGCCTTCTTGGACGCCTCGAGGCCGGCGGCCTCGCCCGCAGCCACCAGGGCGCTAATGCGGTCCATCAGCGCGTCGTAGGCGTGGCCGTCGCCTGAGACAACGAGGTCGTTGGAGATGACGAGGCGCTGCTGCTCCGGCGACAGCTCCCAGAGCGACTGACAGGCCTCCAGCGCACGTGGTGCGGAAAGGGGTGGTGGTGCTGTTGGGAGCCGTTTGGAAGGGCCTAAGGGGGTGAAAAGAACAGGGAAACGACCCAAGATCTGGTCCTGCAGCACCAATTGAAGGTGAATTTCTTCTAAACCTGCCTTGGGTCACAGGCCCCTCAGGCGAGGCACTTCCGACTGGAACACCACAGCGTGTGGATCAGCATTTGCGCTGAACAACAGGGATTCTGACCTCAGCAGGGAAGTGGGGAATATAGCAGTGAGGGGCACAGAATACTTCAAACAACTCAGAAGCACTACTCGGCTCTGCCTCCACGTTGATGGAGTGCCGTTCCAGAAAAGCCTCCACGCTTGCACGCAGGTCTTCTGGTGGCGGTGGCGGCGGCGGAGGTGGTGCTCCTGTCGCGCAAACGAGAAACCCCACTCCTCCAATTCGGTGGAATGCAAATAAGGTTCTGTAAGTCTGAAGAGGATTTCTGGGGATGGTTTTCGTTGGGTCACTCTCCCCATAAGAGAACACAGGAAAAACAAAAGGTCTAAAAAAAGGTTTGCAACGTTTTTTTTTGTTTTCCCACTATATAGTTCCCCAGGCCACAAGCTGACCACCGACCCCCTGGGTTTGGTTCGGACGAGTTCGACCAGTCTACAGTCTACACCGGGGGCGAGATTTCGGTCTATACCAGAAATGCACCCCCCAAACGGTTTTGGGATTCCGAACTGTCTGGTGGCGAGGAAATTCACACCACTCTTCCCTCCCGAAATCCTGCTAGGAAGCAACAGCCACCAAACATGGTGACCCTTGTCTTTTTCTTCCTCCTTGGTGTTTGTTTGCATCTTATGAACCAATATGAAGCCAACGACATGACCTCCAAGATTTCCTGCCCCTGTTGCCTTCGCTGCCTTCCCCCCATCTCAAGTGAGAGGGGGCCATGACTCCGGACCCATCCCTGTCCTTCTAGTCCATTCGGCTGTAGGCCCTTGGCACGGCGGATCCTGGCAGAACTTCCAGGACAACGGTCGAAGCATCGAACGGAGCATTTCGGGCATCGCTACGAACGGGGCGAAACTGGCCTTACTACTAGGAGCAAGTAGCTACTAGGAACCTGGGCATCGCTATTAGCAGCATTCTTACTACTATAGGAACAAGACGCTACTAGGGGCTCCTGGCATCGCTACGAACGGAACAAGAAGACCAGCTACGGTGCGCTCTGCTTCGTGTCCTGCTTATCGGTGCCGAGTGGTCCAAAGAAACGAGGAGATCCGGCCATGTTCACAGCGAGCTCACGAACAACTACCAGCACCGAAACCAACAGGTCTCCGAAATGGAGGGTTGGGAAGGGCCCTAATTAACAGGTTTCAATTGGTGACCTGGCAGTGAGGTGCTGGTATACAGTCTTGATGAATATAACCCTCCACTTGGATTTGTTAAAACCTCTCCATGTGAAGGGTTGATATAAACTCAGTCCAAGAGCTACGCCTGATAACCTCCCATGGCGCTCCAACCTGTCGACCCTGCCCATCCTCGACAAGAGCACCGCTGAGGGGTTTTGCGCTCGTGTGATGCCGCCCTCGATGACGTAGCGCTGGAGCGGGGGCGGCAGCAAGCGCAAGGCAGAGGAGGCATTGTCATCAATCTGGTGCTGCTGGAGAAACCTGGCGCTGGCGGCGGCGAAGTGGGACCGGTGACACGAAGGGTGAGTGCGAATAGGAGATGTTGTGGACATGAAAAGGAAGAGCAACATGACCTTGCAAGAGTCCATGTCAGGACTTGGGGGGCCGTTGTGACTTGGAACTGATATCTTTGGCACCTGGTGCTGCCTCCTCTACCTCCCGGTGCTCCGTTCTTTTGTGGGCCAAGATGGGCTAAGGAGCTCTTCCACAGTCACCGCCAGCTGGATGTCATCCACTTCGCCCATGGCACGCGCATCGCGTTGGGCCGACCGCGTGCGGTCGGCGGGCGCCGCGCCCACAGCGCTAAGGTTCGAGGTGTTAGCTTAGTCAGCTTAGTCCGCAAATCTGGAGGACCATCGAATTGTGACATGTATATCTTCTGCCAGAATTTCCAGTTCTTATCTGCAGATATCTGCAGATCGAACTCGAACCATCGATGAGTTGACTGCTAGCTAGCCTAGCTGTGGCTTTCCTGAATTTCTTGGGGGCTGACTTGAAGTCCCTCCAATCAGCTGGCCAGGTACCCATCTCGGGCCTGCTCACTGTGGCGATTTGAGAATGCGACCCCCTGTCCTTCAACAAACCTCACCGTTGGTTTCATTGTCATTGGTTTTCTTCGGACTGGATAGATGCCCCACCTGCTCTAGTAGGATGTTCTCTATAGGCTATAGGTGTGTTATGGCGTTTTCTATGCCCTATAGCTGCTTTCATGTCAACCATGATCTACTACATTGAAGCCATCCAGAAAAGGCTTCAGGCGCGCGCTTTCCTCGTCCCAGCCGAACATGAAGCCCAGCCCTGTGGGCTTCGGTGGTGGTGTGTGGCCCTGGCGGGGGGGGGGGGGGCACGGATCTCCGTATCCACGTCCGGACGGATCGAGTTCCGGAGTCTTCCCCTTTCGACCGTGTTGTTTCGCTCGCCCGGGGAGTCGAGACCGGAGACGGTTGGAGACTCAGTTTCACACACCGAGCCAAAGGGGGGGTTGGACTTCTTCCAACCGAAGGGGTTGGTCATACATGGTCATACATGGTCATACATGGTCAGGGTTTGTGCTCATAGTGACTCATACCCTGCTAACCATCACATGACCCATCCTGCAGTATCAGGATCATGGCGGTGCATGCCAGTTGTTGGAAGTGTAGAGAAGGCGAGAGAAGAAACTGGTCAAGGAGCGCAAAGGTCTCGACAACGGAGGGTCCCCAACAAAAACAAGAGCATGGAGCTTGTGCTTACCCCCAATAATTCATAGCCCCTCCCAGCAAGGTTCGCAAAACATCCTCTTGCGCATGCGGCAATGTGGGTTTTGAGGGAAAGCAAGCTAATAGCCTGTTCTTTTTCAACAGCATTACAACACCCGACAGGCTTTGAGAACGAAGAGAACTCCGGACCGACTTCCACCCCCACGAAGCACCCCGACGACCCATCCTTCTCCGGGCTCCCCGGGCGAGTAGATGCGAAAGGCCGAGGATTCCGTATCCGCCGACCACATGGCCTGGATGGAAGGGGGGGTGGATGATGACCACATGACGGGCATGGTGATGATATGAGTGGTGGAGAAGGTCCAAAGGACTGGGGGTCATCACGCCGCGACTTGCGGATCACGCCAGCCACCCCAGTCCTCAATCCAGTCCTCAGTCATCGTAAAAGCAGGATCCTTCGGGGCATGGTGTTGAGTGCAAACATCTGAACACCACTGAAAAACCATGCCAACATGGAAGACTAAGTCCAAGCAGTCCTAAGTCCACTGAAGACTAACATGGACCCTGAAAACCACTGCTCTGTAGAGCATCGTCTCAAGGTGCCAGGTCTGCAGAGCAACCCGGGTCTCCGGCGTGTCCGTTACATGGGCCTTCAACCTGAACGGATGGTGCCACCGACAGACTGGACAGACCACTGGGAGGTGACGTTGCAAGCCCAAGCGGGCCACGGCCATGGGGCGCGTCATCCGGCGGCAAGCAAATCCATCGCGCCGCGTGCCGCCTCTCCCCACCGGTACCGAAAGCGTCAAACGGAAAGGGGAGAAGCTTTGGTGATACACGTTGAGATGGGCTTGGTAGACAAGGCTCGCCAACTTTTTGGTGATAACGCAAAATCGATTCAGCATTTTTTCATTTTTGCGGAAAAGACACGCCGTGTAGCGACAGGCAGGGGAGCTTGTAACCTAGTGGCAACCACCTAGAAGCGTGGCCTTGTTGAAGGAAAGCTCGGTGCCCACCTGCAACTGCTTGCTGCAGCTGAGCAGGGGAGAATTGCTTTGGGTGAGTGCCATGCTGCTTATACAACTGAGGCATTTCCAGCGCTCGGACCGGCCGTCTCGGCTGCTCGGCCGCTCTGCACCTGCGCCAGTCCGCACAACTGAAAGCATCGGCGAGCGGCGCTGATCCACGTCCCGTCCTCGTGTCTCTTGGATCGTCTCATTCGTCACGAGACTTGAGGCGGTAAACTTGCCTCATTCTTCACTCATGTTTCCTCATTGCCTCAGCTTTTCGGGATGCGCCAGCGCCAGCAAAAAGGCTTCAGCAAGGCTTGGAACTTGCGCCTCCTTCCCGGTGATCCGCGGCACACATGTGGCTCCTGTCGCGATGAGTGTACGATGACAAGCTTGATCCGAGACCTGGCTGTGTTGAGCACGAAGCTCAATCTGAGATCACCCGCCTTGGCTTCGTGAACTGAACACCCAAGAATGACATGAAGAAGCACGTTTGATGGTTGATCACCTTGCGCATTCAGTTCCGTTGTGATGGAGGATGTGGGTGGGAAGGGATTCATGAATTCCATGGTGCCCTCTACCCAGGGATGAGCTGCCCCCCATCCGACCTGTTGTCTTTTTCCACCCCACCCACCGACATCCCTTGGACCATGTGCCTTGACCATGTTGAGCACGTAGACGCCATAGAGACATTCAGAGCTACTGACATACCTCGAGCGCAGCGCTTCGCGGGGGGGTCCAGGGACTCGGCGACTCAAGACGATGCGAAAAGGACCTGTCCCAAAGCAAGAGACCATAGTGCAGTGGGTCCAACGACCGGGTGGTTGGTTTGACCCTTGAAGCCCAAAAAACACCAAAACCTCTTTGCAAACCTTGACCCCAAACAACACCGTTTGTCTTCATCCTCAGCTTGCAGCTCCGATCCTCCAAGAAAACTGGAGCTGCTGTTGGGCCCTGTTGAACGGCTTGGTCTTCAAGAGCTGAAAATACTAAAGCCATTATGTAAAAGGCTACTACTAACAAGAAGCTACTAGGAACAAAGGGCATCGCTACTAGGAGCAAAGGACGCTACTAGGGGCTCCTGGCCCTCAAGAGCTTGGTCTCAAGAGCTCTCTCAGTACTTTCCATCCCTCATACCTCACCTACCCCCAGGGCTGGAAGAATCAATGAGAACCTGAAATCCCAGCAGCTGGAGTTTCTCCAACATCTCCATCTCTTTTTTCTTCGTCGCACTGTGAAAGAACAAAGGGCATCCCTCAGTTGGGAGATCCGTCCTCAGCGGATGTGGGGCCAAGATGCATGGACATGGCAAGCTTATTGTCGAAGGTGTATCCTGGGAGAGCTGGGCATCTTGCTATGTTAAGGACTTCAAGGCGGCTGGCTCATAAGCCGTTGGCAGTACAACAGTCATCCAGATATGTAAAGATACACATTAACATGAGTCAACGACTGAAACGAGCATGTTGAGACGTAAAAACATAGTAAGCAAGAAATGGTTGAAACGTCTTGGGCCGAATGCCAACTCCAGAATGCTTTCAGGCCGATGAGGTCCTTTCCAACATCCATACCGAACCACTTGCTTCAAAGATGACGGTGGAATCACAGGTGCAAACATAGATCATAGAAAGTACAATACCCAGGCTTGGTCAGCATCCACCCTTGTGTGCTGGAGGCCACCCGCAGGCTGCTGTAGGATGCAAAAGTGACCAGGGGATGATCTCCCTGATTCAGTTTTTCAGGACAAACGGGTAGGCTGGGTTAGACGGCTCTTCACTCGATCGCCCCAAAAACATCAACACCCAAGACATGTGCTGATCTCTTTTCTGCTACACTGCTACGAAGGTCTCTGGATTCGGATCTTGGGTGTTTTTCATGGGTGTGCTACGAAGGTCTTAGGTGTGGAAGTATGCATGAATCGGGCAGTATGTAGCAGGATCTCCTTTGAGCCTCTATCTTGGGGATCCATCTTTCCTGCACAGCTTGCCTCTCTTGCGCATCTTTTACCAGAACTTTCTCATCTACTCCCACCCCTAAAAAACCTAAGATACTACTACATGAAAACACGTGGATATATACAAGAACTTAGAATGCTTTTTTTCCCCGTTTGATGACCCGCCAGCAGCTTTGTTTTCAGCTATGTCACTTAGCAAATCCAACCACCAGGAGGCATCTGGACGGCTAGAATCGTCCTGGCGTGCAGAACAAACCACCACTTCACAGGCTGGACATGCTCCTGTGCACGTTTGGACACGACAAGAAGACTCGTGCACATGCAGCTGTAGGGGATAATAGATTGAGTTTCCTTGCCTTGGTTTCTTTTCAGAATATGGTCATTTTGTTTCCGTTCTTTTTTCGGTTGATACTCACTGCCGGTCTTGGATTTGCTCCAAAGACCGCACGTTTCTGCCATCCCCAGCTTGAATTGTCGAATGGGATGTCGCGACATCCAACTTTGAGAAACGCACCTGAAGAACCCCTGGTTTCAATTTTCATACAAGGCTCACTCGGCTTCAACAGAAAAGCTGGGTCGCGAACGCTCCAAGACTGCGAATTTCCGATGGTTTTTGCAGTATGGAGCTTTTAGGCAACATCAGCTGAAAACTCGTCCATGACGGTTCTTCACAGAAGCGAAGAACCGCTGACCAAAACCACCAAAACCGTCAAAGTCATCGGCCTGCAGGGCTTGCAAAAGCCTTGGCCAATCCAGGGTACTGCGATTGGTGTACGCGCAATCCTCGGTGCGATGCACGATACGATGTGCGTGAGATGAAGGGACTGTGACAGTGCTAAAATCCACAGGATTTGTCTTCAAGAGTTCGGTTCTGCTTGATCCATGAGGTCTGCCTTTTCTCGATTCATCCCCTAGACATGTGGAACCACCGTCTGCTCGTGGAACTATGCGGGGCTCTATGACTCTATGCACTACCCTTGTCTTGAAGAAAACGGGTCGCCTCTTTTTTAGGCCAAACGGGTCGCTCGGAAACCGAGCAATGGCGTAGAACGCCCCGTCCAAGAGCTCGGATGAAGGTTCCAAGAGAGCTGGGGATCGAGATCGGATGACGTCGTCCATAGCTTGTGCAAACATGGCAGCGAACAGGTTCGCTTCGACACGTTTCAGCAGCACGAGAGAGCCATACAGGACCACTTTTTACATCTGCCCTCTTTTGGGGGACTCCTTTCCTTTATCATGTAGAGTCGGAGGTCTGACTGTGCATACTCTACACCCTCTCCTCCACTGAAGAACGCGAGAGCCTTGTAACATCTTACCAACTTCATCGACCTTTGCGGAGCATCCCTACATCCGACATGTTCGGACCTTTCTTGGGCCAATGGAAACCGAGCAACACGCTGACCCACATCCACCGACACCCACCTACACACCCGATGATTCTAATTTGCAATCTACTAAGAGACTTGGACTTAAGCTGTGACTCGAGAAAAACCAAGGTCGAGGTGATCCCAAACACCCTGTGGATGGTTGAAACCAGGATACCGAAACTGTTGCAGCCTTCTACACGCCCTGTCGCTGTGCCAAACTCTTCTACCTCTCGTACTCCCTTTGACCCCCTCAGTGCCCCTCGTCCTCACACTCCTCCTCTCCGCTTCGGGCGTCGTAGTCGTTGTTCCGAGGGATGCCCGGATAGCTCCAGTCGTAGGAGTGGAGCAAGGCAAAGATGGGCCATTCCGTGCCCATGATCACCGTCAAGGGGATCTGGAACCTCGAGATGCGTCTCTCCGCTCGGAGCGACCCGACCCGGAGCTCGGAGCGAGTTGGAGCATTCAGTGAGAAGACCAACGGCACAGGGCGACTTCGGTTGGTGGTGGTTTGACCCCAAGCGGTCAGTCACCGGGTTTGACCCTGTTTTGGAGCCTGTTATAATCCAGTTCATGTCTGAAGCGGGCTTCAGGAACGGCACATGTTGGAGGCGGACGAGCCTGGATGCACCCCCCCTAATATTAATAAACCAGGTATTTGCAAAGTCTCAACAAGGACCAACAACTTTGACCATCATGTAGACATTTAGGCACATAGGTCAAAGCTACCACAAGCTGCCTGTATTGATGTGAACTACAGCCTGAAAAGCATGAGACAGTGCTGGATCAAGCGATGTCGAGATCACGTACTCGACTTGTACAAGCAAGAGATCCAGCGGTCGGCTGTGCTGGATGCATGTGACTGGAATACGGCCGTAGTTACTTCTGAACATCTCAAGAACATGTTTGGCACACCAGGCGAACAACCTTTCAGAACAGCTAACGTGACACCGGCATAATGTGAATGGATGAGACGTGTTTGGGGATGACACGATTGAAATGAACATGTATGGCCGGCATTCGTCCACTGGTTGGCGAGTGAACTCACAACAGATGATTGAAACTCATCTTGAACGGTAACGATACCATGCGGACTCTTTTCTCGAGTAGAAACGGCCTTGTACACTTCTCGTTTGTGCTATGTCATCTTAGATGAACATGTATGCAACCTGTCCATGAGTCCTTTTACCTCACATTCGCACGTAACGATACCGAATTTTCGTTGGCGCCCGGCTGGCAAACGCAGCAACAACGGCTCGTGTGTAGCACGGGCACCCTTAGGGAAGACCTTCCCAGCGTGTAACAATGGATCTTCCTATCCAAACCAGTAAATGGTTCCCTGAACAGCAAAATGAGTACTAGCTTGAATGATAGGTATATCATATATCGATCAGCAAATTGTTGTGCAACCGTGAAGAGATTGCGCAACAGGGTATTGCTGTAACAATCTGTAGCAAAGCTTGGCTTTCTCATGTGCACTGCTGGCAGAATCAAAGTCGAAAGCAAGGAGCTTAGCTCCATGGGGCACTCTACAATGACACTTCTGTTGAATAGGGTGAAGGGCTTTGGAAACCCAAAAAAACGTCAAACAAATGGAGTGGCCCAAAAGGCTGGGCCCTGGGCCACTCAGCACACTCCGAAAGGCGCATGTGACACACGAGCTCCCTGAAGAACGAACGCGCCCTCACTTGTGCTGGTGAAAACGCTTCGGCGCTTTCGGCAACAACCGTTTTGAGACGAACGAGAACCTCCATGCCCTTTCTTCTCCAAGGAATGGGTGGCAGCTTTCAAGTTCCAAATTTCCAGGGTGATGTGATAATTTGTTTCAGTTGTAAAAGAGCTGGCAAAACGGTGAACTTTCTGTGGAATCAGCCATGTTGCCAGCTCTTTTGAAACAGATCAGCTTTTTCGCTATCAATTGCACATCTGAGGAACAGCTCATTGGAAATCCATGAGGAGTGCGAGACGAAGCATTCGAGATCTCCTGCGCTGTCGCGCTGTCCGGAAGTCGTTGAAGAGCGTCACCGACGGAGAGAAACATCGACACAACGGGGAGAGTGTCGTCACGCTGCTTGGAGGCTCCAAGAGTTTCTTGGCTTGGTCTACTTTTCACTTCCCAAATGTGTTTCATTGGGGGGGGAGGGTTAATTACGCTGTTTCAATTTCCGAACACATCAAACAAATGGTCCTGGTGGGAAGTGTCTTCACTCGGGTTTCTGCTTGGAGGCCATGCAAAATGACTTCGCTAGGTCCTGCAGCATGCAAGCAGTGGAAACTTAGATTGACACGTTACAAATAACATTTCAAGATTCCTTCATCTTGGGTTGTTGCTATTCACAGGAAAAGTGGATGATCATGGTGAGACTCTGGAACAACAGCTTACCAACCCACTGTCAGGTCCCTTGAATATGGACAACATGTCAGGTCCTTCTGGATGCAATTCATTCAAACAGGTGGGGGTTGAAAAAACATGTTCGTCGATGGGAAGCTGGGTCAAAGGAGACACACTGTTTTGGACATCGACGACATGTCTTCGACACATGGCGTTGCTCTCTCTCTCTCTCAATCTCTCTCTCTCTCTCTCTGTCTGTTCCTCATTTCATTCGATTGGACATCCTGCACCTCGAATCACCATGTCTGACAACATCGTCCCCCCGTTATGCCCCGTTCCCATTGAACAGGAGGCTCGACGGCAGTAGCCCAACCGAGCCACAATAAATATACAAACACGAGCAGAATCAAGACATCCTCGAATGGGTCTTATGAATCCAGAGTCGACATGAAGTCAGGAAGAACGGTCATCCATGATGCTCACCAGCTCGCCTTTTCTTTTCAAAACTTTTGTCCATCTTCCTCCCTTCCGCTTGCTCGTTTTCTTTCCACACGTCCTTCAGTAAGGCACATCAAAATCCGTGCCACCTGGAGCGATCGATCGAATTTCGCATCCCATCCGGGCCACGGCGAAACACCCATGGGATTGACGTGATCGTCTCTACAAAAGGTCCGTTACAGTATCGTTGTCATCGTTAACAAGGGGAGTCACACAATGGGACTCACGTTACTGTATCTCCTTATATTCCTTTTCAACAAACACCCGGTTATATTCCGTCATCATCTCTACATAGTAGGAGTGCTTGACGTCCCCCCCATCATCCTCTTGCCTACCTTCCAAAGACAAAAGAAACACCGTTTCTTAACAAACACATACCAAACCCGTCGGCTCTTCAATAGGCCGCATTTCAACCACTTCATGCGCCACTTCTAGTTTTTTAGCACCTGACCAAACTCTCTCAGCCGGCCAGCCAGTCACTCACTTACACGCACACACAAACACAAACACAAACCGTATACCGTCTCTCTCTCTCTCTCTCTCGCTCGCTCTCTGACGCACACACACACACAAAAAGAAACACACACGCACATGTACTGAGGACCACTGTATCGACTCTGACCACTCTCTCTAAACCGGCGACCTGCAAGGTCAGAGTGCCCAGTGGACACTCGGCCCAGGCAGCTCCCAGTGCTCGGTCCAACGCCTCGTTTTGGCGCGAACACGGCGGACGTGGTGGGAGGGATGGTGGTGTTGAAGACCAAGGTGGGTCTGTTTTTTGGGTCAAAAAGAACATGGGGAGGAAGGAGCTGGGAAGTGGTATATCACTGGTGCATCACGGAAGTGACCAAGAGATTCAGCGATTTCACAAAAAGAGAAAGAGAGTTATGCTGAAATTTGCGCCGCGGAGAAAGATGCTACAGTAGATGAAATGATGGGCGCCAAAGTTCCCCGCAGGCGCTCGGTGTTTAAGCTAAACGTGAAAGATCTTCGGAACTTTCAACACCTTCCGGATCCCGGACCTGGTTCAAACACTAGATTGCCCCCCCCCAATGCTGCAACTGGGTTCCAGGTGCTCGGATCCACCGGATACACCGGATCCAACCGATCCACGGAGTGTTGGAGGCCGCTCGTAGGGTGGAGGCCACAATTTAGGCTCCCATTGCCATTCGGTTCCCATTACAATGAGCTTGGAGGCGCTATCGGATCCACCTCTCAAGGATCTTCGGAAGCCCCCCGTCCCTGCCTCGAAGCTGGCTCGGAAGCCCCCGCGTGACGCGAGTCCGCCGAAGCGCTTCTCGAGCACGGTCATGACCACGTCCTGCCCGGTTTGTCCAGGGGTGAAGTTTCCATGGCGATCCTTCGTAGTCTGAAGAACAGAGGGCGAACATGTGAAGGGTAGTTCTAGTACCTACAGTAGGTCAATGGAGGAGAAACACATCTATTAAGGTATATTATAATATATTATATATATGACATGTAAAGTATTGCTGGGGTATTGGATGATATCGCATGGTACCAGGACACCTTGCTTGACCTACCTTGGTCGTTTGCTATTTTCACACACTCCCTATCTTTGGGAAGGCATCAACAGCTCCAGAAAAGGCTCTTCCTCTCTTCCCCCACTTGTACTAAGGCAAAATATGGCAAAATCCTTTCCACCGCCCTCCTGCCAGTTTTCAATCCACGCAGCGCAGTGCAACGTCCGCGTGTGCCGCGTGTGGCCGCAGGAGGTGGTCAGGCCGTCGCGCAGCGAGTCCCAATCCTGGAGGACAAATCCGCTGGTGAAACTTGGGGAGCCTGGAACCTGGACCTTTCTATTTATCTTTTTTCGGGGGTTTAACAACAACTTGGAAACTGCTGGGCAGTTACTATACTCTATGACAGTATGAAGTTCCTGGCGAACCAAAACGTCTTGTTTTAAGGGGAGCTCTCTCTTCGATGCATATGCTTGGCATTGTTTGGCCAAGCGAACTTTCCGCTTCGAGGGATTACCTGGATCATCGCACCGACCAGGGTGGAGGAGATGTCTCAAAACAGGCATGGGAAGAAGAACAGGATTCAGTCCTTTTTTTGGATGCCAGTTAAATGCTTTTGCGGACACCCAATATTTGGCTGGTGAACTGAACAAACATGATAGTGAAATGACCTCTCCAAACAAGAATCACGCCTGGACCAACACCGAATCCCGTCCAGCACCGGTAGCGGCAGCTGGACGCAGTCGTGGTTTGGAAATGGCTCGCCACCTGGGCCACCCAGGTGCAGATCCCAACGGGCCGCCAAGCCCTTGGGTAAGGGAAAACGGGTCTTGTTGAGGTGATTTGAGTCCAAAATGAGAGTTGGCAAAGAAATACTCAGCCGATTGAGACAAAGAGAGCGAGAGAGAGAGCCAAATTCTCAGTGTGAAGGCATTGAAGTCCGCCAAACAATACTAGTTGACACGGCCATTAATCCTTTTTGTCACCGGTTCCTGCTGCTTTCAACTCCGTTCAATCCTCTTCTCTGGGTGATGGTCATCGTATCTGCACCCCCAAATGCACCCTAAACATCTTGGGATGTGGAGTACCCAAAGCCGTGTCGATTTGTGAACAGCACAGCTTTTGCAGCCTTTGTGGGGGCTTATTGATACCTCCGGAAAGCAACCCAACTGGTATGAGGTGACCCCACCACAATGGTGCAGGAGAGAAGTTCGTCCACCCACAAGTTCGTCCGGGAAAGAAAGGTATCAGTTCTTGTTTTGATGGTTGTGGAAAAACCTGACTCTGGAATATGTACATGTAACATGTAACATACCTGGAACCCCAAACGATCACCGTTTTTTGAGTGCCAATCAGTTTTGAGACGCCACATGGCATTGGTGTTCTGTTTTTGGGTGTTTGGCTAAAACGATCAAAAAAGATCAAGGACCGCTTTCGCAATGTGGAAACCTTGCCGGAAACGAGCTGGAGACACCCAAACGCTTAAAAACACAACACAACATTTATAAACACGACTCAAACGACTAGAAACACAACACAAACGACTAGAAACACAACGCCGTTGCGTGAACCACCTGAAACAACAACCAAAAATACAACGCAAACGATCAACAAAACGACGCGAACGCTCAACTTTATGGCGCAGCTTTGGTGTTGTTATTCAATACACTTTGGAATCCCTCGAGTGCCCTTTGTGACACCGGCACATAGGTCTTGGATTGTGTTTTTTGATGGTCGATCAAAAAATCTAAAAACGAACAGATTTTGGTAGGTGTTCCAGGCTCCAGGTATGTACATGCCTTCACTCCGAGAAAGAACGGTGAACATTGAAGAAGACTGGTTCCTTGTTCAAGAATTGTTCAAGAGATCCGCCATGTCCACAGGTGGCCGTGTGTCCATGTCATGTTCTTTGTTGGATTATGGAAACATACATCAATTCTTTTTGCAGAGTATTTGGTCTCTACCACAAGCAAACGGCCCAACGTGAGATGTTTGATTTGGACCAATCCATACAGTAGTTGCTTCCCCATGAGCGGTTTGGGTCGAGTGTAGCCTCGAAAACACCAGATCCAGGATGTCAGGACACCAGATCCAGGCCATGCTTGCCAGCTCGCCGCCAACTCCTTTGGCCGCACCGCACCAATGACAATAACGGTCCGCTGCGGGGTCCGCTGGGGGGGTTCACACCGCTGCGGGGGTTCGTCACCCGCACTCTGTGGAGGGTTGGCACGTCTCAAGTGCGAACATCTGGCTGGATGCCCTGAACCAATCTGCTGCTGTCCATCACCAGAGAAGTTCCCGGCAAATTCGGCTCTTGGCTCTTAATGTGTTATCAAAAGCTGCAGTTGATTCACACATTGGTTGCTTGTCCCTGAATGTCCCAGGACAAACCTGCGCCGTCCCAAACCCGCTTGGAACGGTGCCGTCCGTCCGAACCAGGACATGGCCCCGGGCCAATGTCAGCCATACCGGGATGGCCCCAGAACCTGAATCCACTGCCCTCCCCTCCTTTCGTTAACGATCCCAACCTGATCGACCTCGACCTGTAGAAAACCCACCGAAATTTCCGAAGACCGGTTTTTGGGGGTTCGATGTGGTCCTTTGTAGGGAAGTCACCAAAACATTGGAAAAAGAGAAGTCAATCCCAACTGCTTGGTTGGAAGATCGTCTTTTTTTGGCCATCTTCCAGGTTGAAAAGTGGCTGGGCCATGTCAGATTCCAACCTTCTACACCTTACTGACTCGGTGCTGTGCGGTGCTGTTTTCCCATGTGCTGGAACCAAGGTTCCAGCGCCGGCGAAGCGGCTGGCTGCATAGCTGCATGGAGTGCCACTGGCGCTTGGGTGGGCTGCTGTACTGCGACTGTGCCAGCAGACAGTGGTGACGTCAGAATATTCCGGCGAAGATTCTGGATGTATATTACGCTTCTCAGGTTGTGCGCATGAAGTATGAGGTGCTTTGGCATGAAGTATGAGGTGGTCGCCAGCGGGTTGATCTGCTTTCAGAGACTCAGATGACATGTCTTTTGGCATGTCTAAAGTGTTTAAGCATGTCATAAGCATGTCTATAGGTCTAAGTGTCAAACCTGCCCAAATTGTCACAGCTTCTGCCGCCAAAGCAGGGCGACTGCAGATCTTCAGCTCTGAAGCCTGAAGCTGCCGGCCACAGCTGAGCCAGTTCGATGGGTCAACGCATCGCTTCTCAAAGGGCACAGGGGCACACATCAAAACTATGAATCTGCAATGTTTTTTTGACATGCATGAGGAATATCAGGTGAATGCTGTTCATGACTTATGGTCTGTATCACCTGCAGCTTTTGCTTGTATCCTACGAAATTAGTGGGCAGGATTTTGTCCATTGTTAACATGTAGAAACTGGTCTAGGAGCCCACTAACCAGCAGCCAAAGGAAAGGCCATCATAGGCCATTCTACGTATCGATTGCTAGCGATCGTGGGGTCAGGGTTCGTAGCTTGCCACAAGTCAGTCTGCTCAGCTGCCGAACACATGCAAAGGTGGTGAGTCACGCAACAAAGAAATGAGAAGCGCCAAAGTCGCAGTAGCTTCTTTCCCCAAATGACACGTACGACTGCTGAATTTTTGTCTCCCACTGAATCCCCCACAGCCAGCGCTTTTTTCAGCTTTTCCATCAGCATGTCCCATGAATCAGCATCTTCGGCTCTGATCAGTGTCTTGATGCGCCAACCTGTCGCACCGAAACTCATGCCCGATGAGAGCTTCCAACCTTCTTCTGCCATTTTTTCCGGCCAAGCACTGTACGGACTGAGGACGACTGGGGCGAAGTCGCCTGGCGAACCACCATGGCAGTGGGTCGTTCGAACCGAACACCCACCATTGCCCATGCAAGGTGGACACCTTCGCACAGAGGAATCTGCTTTTTCATCTGTTCATCTTCAGTGGTCGACCAGGCTTTTGACCCACAGCCATACGGGCATCTATCTTTCTTGGTCTGTGCAGCAGGCACTAGGTGACCTGGTCCAACATTTTGTCGTGCATGACCATTCATTGCGGATGCGCACGTGGCATGGGCAGTGCAACAGCTGGCAAACTGCACACTTCAAGCCAACCTCAGCTTGCAAGAGAAAGAGAGACTTCAACCGAAACAACTGGAGAGGTCTCAAGTAACACCAAATTGAAAGCAGTTCTCACGGAGTTTGCACAGATTCTTGTATTGCTTCACGCTTGGCAAATCTCCTGACCATTATACATCCTTCTCGCTCTGTGTCAGGACATTGGGACAAGTTCTGATCTGACTATACGTGGCACATGAAAGCTAGGAGCAAGCCCCCCCATAAAAATGACCGGGGAACAACACCCTTCGCAGAACATCTGTCACCGGTGCTTCTTTACAGACCTGAAGCCCAAAAACGGTTGACCTAGCCGCTGCTGAGGCTTGCGTCATGAGGATCTGGGTCCAAACGTCCCTCTTGGAGCTGATCGATCATGCCACGTCCCTCCTGGCGGCAGGAAGCATAGCGTCATTGGAGAATTACTCAAGCATATACCAGTGACTGCAACAAACAAAGAAATCTGTCGCATATGAGGGAATCGTACCAGTGTTGTCTTGGAAAAAACCAGCAACGATCAAGCAACGCCTGTGATTGTAAAGAACAATAGAACCTCAGTTGCGTATTGGCAGTTGGCCCTTGAAGTGGCCCTTGATACTCAACGCACGAGCAAGAATGCAACACACCATTTCAACCCCAACATATAAACTCCCAAGTCATCAACAAGGTCCTGCAAGGTGGCAGTCTCCACGGCTTGTCTGACAGCTGCAGCATTCCAGAAGCGGAGGTGAGCTGCGCTGGGTCCAGACCTGGGAGAGGTCTGAACATCTCAAAACATCTTCACAGATTGCTTCGCTGCTTCACTTGCTGGACCCTGTCTTTTTTGACTCCCATGACCAAACAAGGAATTAAGTCTTGTCAAGTAAGAGTGTCTCATAAGTCTCTCAAAGCTGCGAAAGCTTTTAATCTGACACTTTGCCACCAGTTTCTCCGAGATTTCTGGAGAGGATCCCGGCCACATCTCTTCTAGCATTGAATTCCAGCCTTGTCAGATGGCTTCACTTGCTGAGAACCATCGAGAAAGGCAGCCACGAAAAGAGGATCTGGGCTTTCGGCTTTCAGCAGCCTTTTGGCCGAGTGTAGACGCGCAAAATGCGCTGTGAAACATGCATGTCCTTGCTCAGATGAACGTCGCAGTGTCCTCACCCCAAGTTTGGTGCGGATCTAGCCATGATTGGACTAAGAATGTCTAAACAAATTAACTCGTGGAACTCAAGTCAATATTCTTTTCCCCTCCCGGGTAGCATATGTTCAAAAGGTGGAAAAACAAGCCCAAACTCGGCAAATTGACCACACCGAGCTTCCACGAGAATCTCCACAGACTCGCCTTCCTTAAAAAGGCCGGATGAGAGGTGGAAGAACATAAGACACATTTCTGCGTTTTCAACGTCTCAGCGAAACCGTGGGGAAGAATGAGTTCTGAACGGCTCAGGTCTGATGTCTTTGGCATTGGATGGAGGTCTCATTTGACCACTGCGCAGATGTATCGAGCATCGGACGCAAGACGGAAGGGAAGAACTCGAACTGCAATCCGCGACTTTGCATACATTCAGGGATGGAGCTGGTTATAGCTGGTTACCTTCCTCTCTGACCCACACTCTGAGCTTCTGTTATATAGCATCTTGCAACGCATAACTTCGTCGAAACGACTCTTAACCTGTCTTTGTCGCAGGAAGTGAGACCTACACCCGCTTGGTGACCGTTTTCATCTACATCAGTGTCTTCTCTTTTGATACCTCTGTGCTCACAAACATCACAACTGGTTTTTCTTCCTGGCAAGACAAGTGATGCGCATGAAGACGGAACTGCTGAGGGCTTCTTCCCCCTAAAAAAAGGCAGCATCCTCCAGCCACCGCCCCGCAACATCCTCCAACCCCCATCCAGCCAACATCCTTCGGAGGACGAGCATCTTCCAACTTCAAGATCTCCTTCTTCAGCTTCTGCCAAATCCGCACCGCCAAGCTCTCCGTGCTATCGGGTCGCAGGGCCAAGATGGCGCTCAAGAGGAAGGGCATCACCAAGGCGACGCGGCTCAGCCTTAGGCGCGACTGGGCGGCTGGGCGGCGGGCGCTACATCAAGAGCTTTCTTATTGGCACATCGTCGGCTCACAAACACTTCGTTTTAGATGAATTAATTCGTCGAAATTTGATGTCAGGAAGAATCTTTTGGATTAATTAGTCTTGCTAGTGCTGGACCTGGCACAAATTGTCACAAAGTCCAACATCATCCAACATCCACACGGCTTGCTTCTGAAACATCTGCAGCCAATCAGCCAGGTCTTATGGAAACTGAAGCTCACCGCCGCCACAGCGAGGCAAATGAAGCAGCCACACTGAAGAATGTTGACCTGCCGACATTGAAAACAAAGAAGTCGATTCACCTTCAGCCGTTTCTGCAAAACACCCTGCCTGTGGCTGCAAGAAAGGCTGAATCATGCCACTTGCAGCTGCCATGAGCAAGGTGATGGCCAATGTCAACTGCAGTCCATCTTCGCTTCCCACCACTGACACCAAGGCAACCGCTACCAACTTCTGGATTATTTCCATATAGAGGCTTCGAAAGCGAGTATATTTGGCGAGGAAACTCTTGGATCCAGCCAAGGCGCGATCGGAAGACTCTGCTTCTTCCAAAAGGTAGCGATCCATCATGGCCTCTGCTAGTTCACGGCTCTTCACCGTATCCTTCTTGTCCACCTCACCAACGATGCTCAGCAGATTGGTGACATGGTCGGAGCTGTCGTTTCTTGATGCGTCGCCTGGCTGTCAGAGGGGGGTTGCATGCGGTTTGGGGCACGACGGCAAGACGGCACGACATGCAAATGGATTGGATGATGAGTTCGTTTCTTGGTTTCAAGCACAGCAGACACAATGAGAGTCACATGACAAGGAAAACGACAAGGCAATATTCAAGGCGGCCTGCCATGGTTGCAATCACCATCCCATCCTTCAATACCACACGGACTCGATGCCCTTTCATCCGTATGGCAATGTGGGATGCTGACGCCGCGAGCAGACACCTGGCAACGTTGACTGCACTTTCTCCTTAGATTCACAAAGCTCAGGACATGTGGGAGACTTTGCCATGGGAGACTCTCCTCGAAGAAAACAACTCACTTTAGTCAGTTCAATCGGAGATGCTTGAGGCAATGGGAGAAGTGGGAGTAGAATCTTCCAACACTGCCCGATCATCCCGAGCTATGATTCCACAAACGAAATTGGCCGAACACAACCTGAAATCATTACAACAGTGCCGCTGAGCGACCTGCGAAGAGACCTTCACCATGCTCAATCGCAGCTCCAGATTCTCGTCCTCCGATGCTGAAGCCACCATGGTCTTGCCTGGTAGAAGGGCCAAATGCTGCCTTGTGTACAAGTAAGCCAAGGCGCAGGGTACACCAACACCGTAGAAGAAGGAACTCGCATAACCAATCGCGTCCAAGTAGTCCAAAGAGGAGTCGTAGCACCGCAAATGCGGGAGCCATTTTCGAAACATCAACCTCATGATGACTCGTCCCAAATCTGAAAAAATCGATTCCCCCAAGTTGCGACGATATCGCCTCACTACTTCTCGGGTTTTGGGTGGATTCTTGTTGGGTCTTGTGACATCTTCAGACATCTTTAGACCCTTTCGGATCTGATCGAAGCACCAAGAGTTCGCTCCTTGAATTCGAACCCTCTCCATGTCTCTTTGGTGCCAAGCCACGTTTCCGGAAGGTTGGTTTGATCGCCGCCCACTCTCTGGCAGGTCAAGAGCCTTGAAGCGCCGGATGCGCCGCCCACGTAAAACAGCGTGAGCGCCTGCAAAAGTCATCAAAAGGCAAGTCTGTGTTCACACACTTCCATCATCTTCGCAGTTCAAAATGCCAAATTTTTCACCTTGAAACCTACACACACCATCTGGATGATGCGCATGCATGGTCTCCGACGTGGTTTTCCGCCTGATGATCCCTCAAATTGCTTTCCGTGTGAAGACGATCGTCGATCATCTTCCCCACACGGTGAGGCCTTGAGTGCTGCGGCAATGCCAAATCCATGGTTGATGAATTCCATGGCCACGCAGAAAAGCAACATCACCATTGGAGCCACTGGTGCCACCACTGCAGAAGCCCATCGAACTGTGGCACCATGGAATTTGCATTGAAGGTTCAAAGCTCCTTTGAGACTCGCAACTGAGAGCTGGGATGCCTGAACACAAAGAGCAAATGAGTCAACGAGTTTATAAATGGATGCGCCAAAAGCTGCCTACTACTTTAATAACATGTGATTCTAGAAACGGCACCCCTCCACAGTCTCCACAAATGGCACTTCCCAGGAGGAATCTGCTGTTCCCTCTGGCTGCCGTTCGCCTTGCATCAGCAGGGCCAGGACGGCCCAGAGCTGACATGTTTGCAGAAGGACCGGGGCTTGTTGCTTCAGCTGTTCCTTCAAGGCATCCATGGCTGAAAAGGGAGCCTCTGCATCTGCTGATGTCCAGCGCATCCGCAAGCAGGCCAAAACCAGGCCAATCACTGCAACTCCAGCTGCCAATGCAGCTACTTGCCAACTGTGCAAACTCTGATCTTCATCTGGGCAGGGTTCACAAAGCTTATTGGAGAAGTAGTGGCTGTCCTGACAATCTGAGCAAAGGATCCCACGATAGCCAGCTCCACATTCTGAATCAACCAGGCCATTGCCCTGCGAGCTGTTGCATCTGATGTCTTTCGGTGGCAGGCATGCCACGGCCACCGTGTCGTTGGACGTGAGCCGAGCGAAGCCCACTTCGGGCGGAGCAGAGATCAGGTGCATCCCGTACTCGGAGCAAACCAGGTGGTTGGTGTGGCAAGGGACACACACCTCTTTCTCGCTTCCTTCATCCAAAGCGCTGACATTCGACGCATGCCCTGAGGAGCATTGACATGCAGGAGAACTATGTGAGTGGAAGGTCCCTCCGGAGAGGCAACGACAACTTGTCTTGCTTTCGTCAGCTGTGCTGCCCTTGGGGCAGGGTGTGCACCTTCTAGTGCCGTAGGCTTCTGCGTATGTGTCGCTTGGACATGTTGTGCAACCTACTCCCCTTCCAGCAAATCCGGGCGAGCAGCTGCAAAGCTCGTCTGGAAGAAACAGCGCAGGTGTCACCTGCAGACTTGTGGATTCAATGGAGTAGCAAGAGTATCCACCTGCGGTGTCAGAGGAATTGTGAGGTGTCTTATTCAATAAGCCCTCCAGCACCAGTTCTCGAGCTTCCTGAGCTTGGGATACACCCTAAACTGACCACCTTCAGAATCCACTGTATGTACATGGCTTCAAGTCAAATCCCCTCAACAAAACCAATTTCACATAATTTGTCACTAGAGCTCACACATGATGACAAATGCAAGGATTCCTGAAAATACTACGCACTATATAAATGTGGCAAGCTGCTGCCTTGTTGGATAGCTCAACATTCTGCAGGTCTAGGAAGGTGCCAGCTTTCACAGCTCTCCGTAGCACACCATCTGCGAAGCGCACCATGGGGTTCCCGGTCAAGATCAACACCTGCAGGTTCTCCGGCAGGTCATCGATCTCGGACACATTGTTGGCTGCCAGGTCCAGGGTTTGAAGGCTACGAGCCAAACGCTGACCCCGCAAAGACCGCAACGACCCAGTCAAACGGGAATTGGTGGCCTTGATGCTAGCGATATTCGGGCACTTGCGAAGCAACCACAGTAGGTCCATGACGTCACCCTGAAGTGGACATCCGCTCAGCTCCAACATGTTCAGCTGTGGCAACCATGTGACATCCTCTTCAAGAGAATTGAGTAATAACAATTTTTCAAGATCACCCTTATCTCCAGCTGCCGGAAGGAATGATACTTCACTGTATGAAAGCTTCAATGTCCTTAGCATTTGTGCTTTCCCTAGCCAGGAGGTGTTGAGCCGTCCTGAAACCTTGGCATGCTCAAGTTTCACGCTCGTGATCTGCTTCCAGTGCAAAAGCACCGCCATGTCTCCAGCCACGATTGTGTGGCTCAGGTCAATCTGCTTCAAGCTGGAGAGTGCTTTGAGACTGGAGATGTCGCCGGAAACGTCGCTGTCGCTCAAGGCAAGATGCGACATCTTAGTAAGCTTCTGCAGACCAGAGATCTTCCCGGCAACTGCGGTGTGGCTGAGGTCAAGAAACTCCAGGTCGAGGTGAAGATCGCTAAGGTCACCGACGACTTGAGTATTGCTGAGGCCAAGTCTGAATAGACCCGTGGAAGCGCGGAGACTCGACAAATCACCTGTGACCTTGGTGCCGTCGAGCTGGAGCCATCTCAGCTTTGTCCGGTTCCGAAGGCTGGAGAGGTCACCTGTGATGTTGGTGCCGTCCAGCACGAGGGTGTTCAGCTCGGTCAGGTTGCGAAGGCTGGAGAGGTCGCCCGCCACGTGGCTTCCGCTCAAGTAGAGGGCAATCAAGTTCGTCAGGCCTTGGAGGTGCGACAAGGAACCTGCGAGGCCTTCAGTGTCACGCAGGTCGAGGATCTGCAAGGAGGTGAGCTCTCCAAGGCGCTCGTCTAAGGCGCCGTGCACCTTCTCGTGGCCAGGGAGGTTAATTTGTTCGACCTCGCACTTGCTCCTTGGACGTACCGAGCGAAGTGCCCAACCGGATTCGGCTGACCACGTGCGGTGGAGGATGGGTGTTCGGGAGTTTTAGGACCGTCTTTCGGAGAAAAGGCTGAGCAAATTCTGAGCTGAGGTAGATGACATGTTGGAAGCTCTGGAGGACTTTGGGCCACGCTAACTGATTATCAGGTATATATATATATATGATCACCATCCCAACATAAAGCCAAACCCAAGATTTTCAGGCAGTGCGTGCATTTGCCGCATCTACATGCAATCTTGTGTATACATACATTGTCAACTACAATCACATAATAGGTCATACATATGGGTGGCACAAATGTTCAGAATAACAATTGAATCAATCAACACCAATTTCAGGGAAGGTTCCAAATGATCTGCCACCGTTTCAAATCATCGACCCCATCAATGCCCAGGCTTTGCAAGACTGCTTTCAAAGCGGACCACTGCTTGCAATGCTCATGACCGTGGCCTGGAATAACGACTCGGTCGAAGAAAGATTTGCCGGGAAAGTCTATCAGGAAAGTGGCAAAGATGCAGTAGTGGTTGTCTTTTCAGCTATTGAGAAAAAAACCAGTTCCACAACAGTTGCTTGGACGAAATGGGTGGTTTTTCGGGTCTGACAAAGGATTTTTCAAAGCGGAAAGCGGAAGAAATCACATATTTTGGACATTCACACACACACACCAAAAGGGAACCTTCTACGCCAAACAAGCACCATTTCTGAGGCAAGACGAAGCGGCTGCCAGGGTCTGTTTCCAGTGCCTGGTGTTCGATTTTGGACCGTTCTGCATGGATCACGGAGGCGAAGAAGACGATCGCACTGCCAATGACCAGGCACCGCAAGGACATATGAAAGATATGAAGGATTTACCACTCATTCTGTCAACTCTGAGCCACCAGTGGCCTTGAGCCCGACATATTTTCCGGGATGAGGCAAGATGTCACAACTGACAGCCACTTGACGTGTCACGAAGGCTTTCAATGAAACACCTCGACTGAGTCTTCGAGACTTTGCTCAGCTTCCGGCTTGATGAGAATCTTAATCATTCTCATCTGCCCACTGCTTGGCCACGCATTCCTGATGTGTGTGAGTGATCTCCTACCGGTTGCAGCTCAGATCCAACCAAGTTTCAACCGGCATTTCGTTGAGATCAACCTTTTCAGAAGCGCTTTGAATGGCTTTGAATGATACTGCCGAGGCAAGGAGTTCCTGCCCAGTTGCCAGTGGCGTTCGCCTGCAGCCTGCGTCTTGGCTTCACGCACCGTCCGCGACGGCTGTACCATCTCCAGCGTCAGGCACTGGCCAGCTGATCACCCTGGGGGCAAAGGAAGATGTTCGGTCAAGCGCTGGCTTGGTTGGCGTAGTTGAAAATTCCCAAACGCATTCCCCATTCCGGAAACAGTTGGCAGGTAGCTTGTCTGCTTGTTTTAAATCAACATCAGTTGGTTTGTTTTACTTCAGCATCGGCTTCTGTCCTTCATTGGATTCTCCATCCTGTTGGCAGGTAGCTTGTTTGCTTGTTTTAAATCTGTATGCAAAAAGCTTCCATTCACCTCTGAAACGGAAACCGTCTACTACGCCCCAACAGCTCTGTGCCTCTTTGAAAGACTCTTTCAGCTTGTCGAGTCTATATATCTTCACCCAAAGGTGAGCCTGGTTGACCAAGCCAGTTCTCATGAGCCCAAGTGGGTGCCACAGAACTCTTGCCCCAAACCCACCGAAAAGGGGCTCAAAACCGGGCCAGTTCGCCCCGCAAGAATGAATGAATGAAGCACATTGAATTTACGCCTTTTGCAACCCTTAAGTGCCAACTTCACGAATGATGTTGTGACGAATAGGCCGACTCAACACCTTCCGGTTCCCCCTTCCGCTTGAGCGGCAAGGAAGGCGGTTTGGGCACGTAGCTCTCCACGGCGACGTGTAACGAGGACGAGGGCGACGCTTCCTGATGGGCGGCATCTGCAACCTTCGAATATAGACTGCACCATCACCAAGGCGGAAAATCGATCTTCTCACGGTGTGTCAGGCATACAATTTGCATATTTATCATGGATCCTATCAATATCTCCACCAAGTCGTGGGGTGGTCCGTGATGGTTTGTAGAATTTAGTGGTGAAGGCCCACAGGCTCGCAAATAGTACATCTGAAGCTTGGGGATCTGGAGTTGCTCTGGGCTCTGAGTTGGAAGACCTTGAACTTAAGCCACGTGGAGTTCATTCAGATAACACAAATTTGGTCAGGTGGTTTGACTAGCTCTTTGCCAGGTTAGCCCCATCCTAAGTCAGAAATCAAACAACTTTGTTCCGGATCTGATTCGGATTGCTTTGCAGGGGTCCCCAATTCCTCGAACCAGACCAACCGACCCAAATTCCTGATGTCAGGCGCTTCGCGGATGCGGATGTCGCAAACTTCGCCTGCCAGCAGCCCTCAGAGCCACTTGGCAAATCCGCCTACTCGGCTGCGCGTGTGGCGTGATGAAACCAATTAGACAGTTGGATGAAGTTGGATGTGTTTCTTGCAGTGAAGACCTCTGCAAGACCCCCGAAGCAAAGCAGGAGAAATCTAGAGGCATTGACGCGCTCCAAATGAGGTCCACATCTTGAGAGCACAGAGGACCACTTGGAAAAGAACACCATCTTTGCAAGGATTCAGGTTTGTCCTGGCAAGTGTACTACCATCGCAAAAAGGAATGAACATGCTTTTGTTACTGTGACCATTCGCAGTATGCCAAGGATTGATCTTAGGGAGCAAACTAACATACGACTCATCGTGCACTAAGCAACAACAAACTGGGGCTCCTATAAAACGCAAATAGGTTGCGGCGGGGATGACCTATACAATTCCTGTGAATTGTCCTTTATTCATGAGAATTGTACTTTTTGCTCTCTGAAAACAAATTCAAATGATTCATGGATTGCTCCTGCTCAAAGTAATTACGATTGGATCTCCATGGTTAGAGGTAGTGACACAAAGCAAGAGGCTTGCCCAGAGCCACGGAGTCAAGAATGGCCCATGGGTGCCGCCACTCAATAATCTCCGTCTCTATCCGGGCGGCACCCACCTCCTCGTCCAGCGGCATCTCGAGCGACGCCAAGGTGCTCCGAAGGCGTTCGAGCAAGGGGCCTCCAGGGAGCGTCGCGTGTCGTGCGCCGTCGGCGGCGTTTGGCGTTCTTGGCCAATCCGGTGTGACACAACATCTATTGTGACCAAAGGTGTTGGGGCTACCAGCCATTGAGGTGTCTAGTGTCTAGGCTCACTGGGCCCAAAAACGGTTGCAACAAATTGCTTCAAGCATGCATTACGTATATTCCCAAATTAGACAGCAAAGTAGATCCCCACTTAAAACATTTTGGTAACCGTTTCTATCTATTTGGGACCACTATATATCGTAATTTCATTTGTCCTCTCGTCTTCATGACCTGCCATCACTCCGCCTAGGGAGCTGGAGCTTGCAATCGCCTGTGAGGCCCAAAACAAGCGGTGAGGCTCCTGGAAATCCGACGACAGTTCGAAGGCACCGACTGAAGCACAAGACCATACCTGACCCAACGGGTTTGGTTCTCCGTCATTGATGAAGCGCGGAGGGCGTTTTGGTGAGTGTGTGAACTGGGAGATCTGCCAAAGCCTACCAGCACCTTCCACCAACAGGTCTCCGTTGCATGGAGGGTTGGGAAGGGCCCTGTCACAGGTTTCAATTGGTGACCTGGCCCGGGCCGTCGGGTGCTGGTAGGTGGGTGGAACTGAAACCTGGAACCCGGCGTCCTCGGACTTCAGCTGCTTCTGGATCACCGTCGTCAACTCGCGGATGACCTCCTGTGACGAAAGGCTTTAGTGGCTAAGGTGTTCAGGGTCGAACCCTCTATAACAGGGCTCCGGATTCTCGGGGCGGTTGGGTCACAGGCGGAGCAGGTCCCTCACTGCCCTCCACTGCCCTCCACTGCCCTACAAATACCCTCCACTCGATACGAATGGTGGACCGGGCAACGTCTGTCCGACGCCCCGGTCTCGGTGTCCGGTTCGCGCCTATCGCGTGTTGGGACTCCATCCGATAGTCCCAAACCTATCGGATGGGATGGTGTCCATTGACCAACATCGACCCATTAAAATCCCATTAAAATCGACCCATCACCTTATAGAGGATGGATTATAAATCACCTTTCACATCACATAAAGGTCGGTAAACAATCCTTGCATGGATTTATCATTTAACGACCCATAAAAAATCCCATGTATGATCATAAATCACCTTACAACATCACCCTATTCCAGACATGGATTGTTAGGATGACGCACTGCTCCAAAAACCTTCTACATGAATTTATGCAAGCAGCTGCTTCTTGATCCATGACACCGTCAATTCTCTGGAAATTGGAGCTTGGCCGGGACAACGGCTTGCTGAATTGCATCTTGTTGTGCACAAAGAATTCACTGACTCAGTCTTTTACAGCCTGTCTACCACGCAAGGTTTCCATCACGAAATTGGGACTTTCCAATAGTCCACAATCTTCCACAACTTCGCAGCTCTTGGTGGTCGAGAATTGGGTTCAAATAGTTTCGATATTGTTTCGATGTCAACAGCACAACTAGCACAACCCTAATCTTGCAGAAGCAAATGCTCCTCGTTCACAAGCCCCGACATATCCGATAGATGACGGAGTGGAAAGCTTTGAAAGGCAAGTTGTTTCCAGTATTCCAAGAATATTTGCCACAAAAATGGAACGCAACAGAGACTCAAAGAGAACAAGGTTCGGCACCCAGGCTGCAAAGTAATTGAGCATAGACATTGAAAGCTTGTGTTTTCGCGCGGGCTGGTGAGTTCGGGACATCCGGGAGCCATGACCCACAGCGAACATCCAGCAGGAACAAGGACGCTACTAGGGTGGAGGCCATCGCTAGTAACAAGAAGCTACTAAGCTAGGTTGCTAGGACGCTATTAGCGTCCAATCCGCTCTGATTCTTGACTTCCACTCCGATCCAGCGCTGTACCTCGCACCTCTTCCGCGAGGCTCGGCGACGGTCTCACAGCTCCGGATGCCCGGACGGCCAGGGTCACAGCGACCTGTGGCACCAACAAACGCAATTAAAATGAGGAAGATTTCGGAAGCTTCTCTTCACTTTGAAGGGATTTCTTCTATTTTTTCAGTGCTTGCAAGCTTCTCTTCACTTGGTGTGAAAAAAACATGATTCTTGAAGTGATCCTCGCAGTGATCTTTCTGACGCTTGCAATGGATCTGCTGGCCACACTCGGAGCTTTGTGTGGTCTCTGCTGGTGAACATCGTCTGGTCATCCCTCCACACGCCATCGGCTCGCTTGCCGGGGTCGCTTCGCGGCCTGAGCCAATTCTCGATAGCAAAGGACCTCGGGTCGGGGAGCCCGCGTCACCAGGACCCCGTCCGGACGCTTCGTCCCTTGAGGTCCGGGAGCCCTGTGACACCATGGAGTCGTCAAAGGCGTTCTTTGGAGGGAACTGAACACCAGTGCCGTGAGACCGAGAAGCTTCTCGGCTTCATGAAAGAAGCTACTTGAGTACTGGTCTGTGTAAAAAAAACACATCCATCTGGTCGAGATTAATGAACCCATCACAGATCTTTACAGCCTTCACCTGGACGACTTCCTTGGGTTTTATGTCTTTCAACAGTCCTTTCAAATTCCTACAACATCATCTGGTGACTGGTTGGTGGTTTCAACATGTTTCAACTCCCTTGAACAAATATCAGTCAGTCTGTTCAATCATCCCAAGTATGAAACCACCACCCAGTCGTCCAGAGTGTTAATCAGTCCCATTATACGAACATCTGCACTCCCAAAGCAACGCCCAAAGCACAAGGGATTGCCTGACATGAAGAACACCACTGTGGCCAGTCTCCAACCAAAGGTTCAAGTATATTTCCCCCATGGCCAGAAGTCTAGCAGTCTACCTCCAAACTCCAAACCTTCCTATTCCGAAGCAAGCCCCTACATGACTTAATTACATTGTT